GGGTCCCAGAGAAAGGGGCAGAGGCCATATTTGAAGACATAGCTGTAAAATTCCCTAACGTGGAAAAAAAGATATTCAGGTCCAGAAAGCACAAAAAGTTCCAAACAGGACCAAACCAAACAGGATCACACCAAGAAATGCTGTAATTAAAATGTCAAAAATTAAAGATAAAGAGAAAAAGGAAAAGTAACAAGTTATATTCCAAGGCAAATCCATAATGCTATGAGCATTGTGGAGAAACGGTGCAGGCCAGAAGGGAGTGGCACAATATACTTAAAGTGATGAAAGGGAAAAACCTACAAATAAGAATATTCTAATTAGCAAAGCTTTCATATAGATCTGGAGAGATCAAAAGTTTCACAGATAAGTAAAAGCTAAGAGTTCTGTGCCACCAAACCAAATTCCAAGCAATGTTACAGAGACTTTTCTGTGTGAAAAAGAAAAGGCCACAACTAGATACATGAAAATTACGGAAGGAAAAAATCTCACTGGTAAAGGCAAATATACAGAAAAGGTAGTAAATCAACTATGTATAAAGCTACTAGGAAGGTTAAAAGGCAAAAGTAGTAGAATTATGTATATCCATAAAAGTAGTTAAGGGACACACAAAACAAAAAGATATAAAATATGATGTAAAAAATAATAAACATTCTGGGGGGGAAGAGTAAAAATTTAGGGTTGTTAAGTGTGTGTGAACTTAAAAGATCAGCAACTTAAAATAATCATTAAACTTAAAAGCTTTTTCACAACAAAGGAAACTATAAGCAAGGTGAAAAGACAGCCTTCAGAATGGGAGAAAATAACAGCAAATGAAGAAACAGACAAAGGATTAATCTCAAATATATACAAGCAACTCCTGCAGCTCAATTCCAGAAAAATAAATGACCCAATCAAAAAATGGGCCAAAGAACTAAACAGACATTTCTCCGAGGAAGACATACAGATGGCTAACAAACACATGAAAAGATGCTCAACATCACTCATTATCAGAGAAATGCAAATCAAAACCACAATGAGGTACCATTACACGCCAGTCAGAATGGCTGCTATCTAAAAGTCTACAAGCAATAAATGCTGGAGAGGGTGTGGAGAAAAGGAAACCCTCTTACACTGTTGGTGGGAATGCAAACTAGTACAGCCACTATGGAGAACAGTGTGGAGATTCCTTAAAAAACTGGAAATAGAACTGCCATACGACTCAGCAATCCCACTCCTGGGCATACACACTGAGGAAACCAGATCAGAAAGAGACACGTGCACCCAATGGTCATCCCAGCACTGTTTATAATGGCCAGGACGTGGAAGCAACCTGGATGCCCATCAGCAGACGAACGGATAAGAACGCTAAACACCAATACACCAGAAAGATAAACACCAATACAGTATACTAATGCATATATATGGAATTTAAAAAGATGGTAACGATAACCCTATATGCAGGACAGAAAAAGAGACACAGATGTATAGAACAGACTTTTGGACTCTGTGGGAGAAGGCCAGGGAGGGATGATCTGAGAGAATAGCATTGAAACATGTATATTATCAAGTGTGAAACATCACCAGCCCAGGTTGGATGCATGAGACAAGTGCTCAGGGCTGGTGCACTGGGATGACCCAAAGGGATGGGATGGGGAGGGAGGTGGGAGGGGGGATCAGGATGGGGAATACATGTAAATCCATGGCTGATTCATGTCAATGTATGGCAAAAACCACTACAATACTGTAAAGTAATTAGCCCCCAACTAATAAAAATAAATTAAAAAAAAATCATGTACATAGACAGTTGTTGTTTAGTCGTTAAGTCATGTCTGACTCTGACTGTAGCCTGCCAGGCTCCCCTCTCTCCATGGGATTTCCCAGGCAAGAATACTGGAGTGGGTTGCCATTTCCTCCTCCAGGGAATCTTCTTGACCAGGGATCGAACCCATGCCTCCTGCCTTGGCAGGCGAATTCTTCACCATGAGCCATTAGGGAAGCCCCATAAATAGACAGAGTGCTCTATTAAATCTTAGAGTAGCCACAAACCAAAAATCTAAACATATGGAAAAAAGAGAAAGGAATACCAACGTTAACACTAGATATACATATCAAAGCACAAAGAAGGTAACAAAAGAAGAAAGGAATAAAAAAGAACTACAGAAACAACCACAGCACAAGAAAATGTAAAGGAGAACATATCTATCAATAACTACTTTAAAAGAACATGGACTAAATGCTGCAATCAAAAGACACAGAGTAGCTGGATGGATACAAAAACAAGAGCCATCTATATGCTACCTGTAAGAGGCTCACTCTTGAGTTACAGACACGCAGACTGAAACTGAGGAGATGGGAAAGGATATTCCTTCCAAATGCAAAAGCAAAGAAAACTGGGTAGCAACACACACCAGAAAAAATAAGACTTTAAAACAAAGATTGCAGAAGTGACAAAGACATTACATAATGATCAAGGGATCAATTCAAGAAGGAGGTGTAACAATTGTAAATGCATATGCATCTGGCAAAGGAGTACCTACATACATAAACCAAATATTAACAGACATAAAAGGAGAGACTGATAGTAACACCATTAATAGTAGGGAACTTTAACACCCCACTGACATTACTGAGGTTAGTGAACATCCAGAAGAAAATGAATTAGGAAACACTGATCTTAAACAACATATTATACCAGATGGACTAAATAGATAAAGATAGAATATTTCATCCAAAAGCAGAAGAATGACCTTTGTTTCAAGTTCACACGGAACACTGTCCAGAACAGACCATATGTTATGCAACAAAACAAGTAAATTTAGTAAATTTAAGATTGGAATCATATCAAGCATATTTTTCTGACCATAACTATAGAGAGGATAAATCAACCAGGTAAAAACAAATCTGCAAAAACATAACTATGTGAGTTTAAACAATACATTATTAAAAAACAATGAATCACTGAAGAAATCCATGAACAAATAAAAATATACCTGCAGACAAATGAAACTGGAAACACAATGATCCAAAATGTATGAGACTCAGTAAGAGCAGTTTCAAGGCTTATACCATTACAAGCTTCCCTCAAGAAACAAGAAAAAACCCAAATGAAAAACCTAAACCTAACTTACACCTCAAGGAACTAGAAAAAGAACAAAACTGAAAGTTAGTGAAGGAAAGAAATAAACATCAGAGCAGAAATAAATGACACAGAGACTAAAAAATTTGAACAGATAAATGAAACTAGGAGCTGGTTCTTCAAAAGGATAACAAAAATTGATTTAGCCAGATTCTTCAAGGAAAAAAGGGAGAAAACTAAAATCAATAAAATCAGAAATGAAAATGGAGAAGTCACAACTGACATCACAGAAATACAAAGGATCATAAAAGATTACTACAATTATACACCAATAAAGTGAATAACTAAGAAATGAACAAAATAGTAGAAATGAATCTCAAGACTGAACCATGAACAAACAGAAATTTTGAACAGACTAATTACTAGTAATAATATTGAATTGATAATCAAAAAACTACCAACAACAAAGAAGTCTAGGATCAGACAGCTTCACAGATGAATTCAACATTCAGAGAAGAGTTAACACTATCTTTCTCAAACTACTCTCATTTTGAACTTATTCTATGAGGTCAGCATTGCCCTGATATCAAAACCAGACAAACATATCATAAAAATCACATATAGTATCACTGATGAACACAGAAGCAAAAATCCTCAACAAAATGTAGCAAACTGAATTCAACAACACGTTAAAAGGATCATACATCATGATCAAGTGAGATTTATCCCAGGGATGCAAGGGATTCAATATCTGCAAATCAACTGATATACCATGTTAACATATAGAAGAATAAAAATTATATTATCTTAATAAATGTGGAAAAAGCTTTCAACAAAATTTAACACCCATTTATGATAAAAAAAAAACTTAATAAACTGAAAATAGAGGGAACATGCCCCAACATAAAAAAGGCCATATATGATAAGGCCACAGCTAACAATATACTCAAACCCAAGTTAGAGGGGAAGAAGTAAAACTCAGTGTTTATAGATGATGACACTATATACAGAAAATCCTAAAGATGTAAGAAAAAAATATTACAGCTCATCAATGAATCTGGTAAAGCTGCAGAATACAAAATTAATATACAGAAGTCTGTTGCATTTTATACATTAAAAATTCTCTATTAGAGAAATAACAAAAATCTCATTGACAATCATATCAAAAAGAATAAAATATCTAGAAATAAATTTAACTAAAGAGGTAAAAGAATTGTGTTCAGAAAACTTTCAGACAATGATGAAATGGACTGCTTAAGAAAGCTGGGTTTCTGGCCTTCCTGGTAGCTCAGGCGGTAGAGAAAGCTGGGTTTCCATGCTTTATAATCTGGTGCAAACAACCATTGTAAGAGTATTTTGTCAGTCTGATTTCCCACTTATTTATAAAATTTATGAAATGATTCTTCCAGTTTTGATCAAGGAGCACATGTTATAGGTCAATCCCTTTTTATGTACAAAGTATGGGACAGGAATCTGTTTTAGAGTCAGCACATTAATTTCCTGGAATGATGTACTCTGGTCTACTCTCGCATCCTGAAGTTGCTGATCACATGCTTGTAAATTCTCCATGCTCTCCAGTTGACTTTGGATTGTGGCTTTTCTCTGCTGGTCGCTTCATCATAAAAAATTTTTTCATGAGTTTCTTAAAACTTCTGATCCACTAGTAGTGGCCTTTTACACTTTCCTGCAGGAGTAGGGATTTATTCTCTCTTCTAAATTAATCTTGTCACAATAATGAGATTTTGAGATGGAGGGGAAATAAATGACTAATAGCCTGCCATTTGGATTTAAAAGTTCAGGGTTATCTTAAACAAAAGTTTAAAAAAATTTGACAATGGTTTCCTTATCTTCTAATCACAGTCACGTTACAGGCAACCTAAAAAATTCAGGAGCATTTTTAGATTAACGCATTTATAGATCACATCAAATTTTGTCGCCATTGTACCTGTCAATTGCTTGAAGATCATTGGCTGGATTCCATGTAGGATCAAATAATACAACCACATTGGCACCAACAAAATTAAGGCCTAATCCACCAGCCCTGGAGTAAATTTAAAAAAAAGCACATTAAAACAGTAAAAATAAATTTTTCTCTGCAACTCAATGATGCCAGGTTTCTATAACAAAATAAATACAATATTACATTAACATTATAAAAGTAAGGTAATTAAAATACAAATATACCACAAGGAAAATTGCTATGGAACATTTTTTTTTGTACTATTCTAGAATATTCCTGAAGAACTATGGACAGAGGATCATAACATTGTATAGGAGGCAGTGATCAAAACCATCCCAAAGAAAAAGTAATGCAAGAAGGCAAAATGGTTGTCTGAGGAGGCTTTACAAATAGATGAGAAAAGAAGAGAAGGGAAAGGCAAAGGAGAAAGGGAAAGATAGACTCAAGTGAATGCAGAGTTCCAGAGAAGAGCAAGGAGAGATAAGAAGGCCTTCTCAAATGGACAATGCAAACAAATAGAAGAAAACAACAGAATGAGAAAGATCAGAGATCTCTTCAAGAAAACTGGAGATACCAAGGGAACATTTCATGCAAGAATGGACAGGATAAAGGACAAAAATAATAAGGACCTGACAGAAGCAGAAGAGATTAAGAAGAGGTGGCAAGAACACAGAGAAGTACCCAAAAAAGATCCTAATGACCCAGAAAACCACGAAGGTATGGTCACTCAACTGGAGCCAGACACCCTGGAGTGTGAAGTCAAGTGGGCCTTAGGAAGCATTACTAAGAACAAAGCTAGTGGAGGTAACGGAACTATAGCTGAGCTATTTCAAATCCTAAAAGATGATGATGTTAAAATGCTATACTCAATATGTCAGCAAATTTGGAATACTAAGCAGTGCCCACAGGACTAGAAAAGGTCAGGTTTCATTTCAATCTCAAAGAAGGGCAATGCCAAAGAATGTTCAAACTACCATATAACTGCACTCAGTTCACATGCTAGCAAGCTTATGCTCAAAATCCTACAAGATAGGCTTCAGCAGTACATGAACTGAGAACTTCCAGATGTACAAGCTGGGTTTAGAAAAGGCAGAGGAACTAGAGATCAAATTGCTAACATTTGTTGGATCATAGAGAAAGTAAGGGAAATCCAGAAAAACATCAATTTGTGCTTCAATGACTATGCTAAAGCCTTTGACAGTGTGGATAACAGCAGACAACAGAAATTCCTAGAGATGGGAATACTAGACCACCTTACCTGTCTCCTGAGAAACCTGTATGCAGATCAAGAAGCAACAGTTAGAATCAGCCATGGAACAATGGACTGGTTCAGAACTGGGACGGGAGTATGACAAGGCTCTGTATTGTCACCCTGCTATGCAGATTACCTCATGCAAAATGCTGGGCTGGATGAAGCTCAAGCTGGAATCAGGACTGCCAGGAGAAATATCAACAACCTCACACATGCAGATGATACCACTCTGATGGCAAAAAGTGAAGAGGAACTAAAGAGCCTCTCTTTGAGGGTGAAAGAGGAGAGTGAAAAAGCTGGCTTAAAACTCGTCATTCAAATACTAAGATCACAGCATACAGTCTCATCACTTCACAGCAAACAGAAGGGGAAAAAGTGGAAGCAGTGACAAATTTTCTTTTCTTGGGCTCCAAAATCACTATGGACAGTGACTGCAACAATGAAATTAGAAGACGCTTGCTCCTTGGAAGGAAAGCTATAACAGACCCAGACAGTATATTAAAAAGCAACGAAATCACTTTGCCAGCAAAGGTCCATATAGTCAAAGCTGCAGCTTTTCCAGCAGCCATGTACGGATATGAGAGCTGGAGCATAAAGAAGGCTGAGCACCAAAGAATTGATGCTTTTGAATTGCGGCACTGGAGAAGACTCTTGAGAGTCCTTGGACTACAAGGAGATCTGACCAGCCAATCCTAAAGGAAATCAACCCTGAATATACATTGGAAGGACTGATTCTGAAGTAGAAGCGCCAATACTTTGGCCACCTGATGCAAAGAGATGACTCACTGGAAAAGATCCTAATTCTGGGAAAGACTGAAGGCAAAAGAAGGGGGAATCAGAGGATGAGATATTTAGAGACATCACTGACTCCATGCACATGCATCTTAGCAAATTCTGGGAGACAGTGAAGGACAGGAGAGACTGGCATGCTGCAGTCCATGGGGTTGCAAACAGTGGGACATGACTTAGTGACTGAACAAGAATAACAGAATATCTCTAAGAAGTTTGAGCGCTAGAGCTCATTTAAGTAGGCTGTGCTGATTTTTACATTTTTTGGATACTCAAATACTATTATCTAGGATTTTCCTAACAGAACTTTTAAAAACTGCTAATAGACTCTAGCTAAATAAATATACACACTTAAAAAATGTACTTGTCTTTATTCCTCTAAGTGCAGCTGAAAACCCTGGACATTATATATAAAATGAAACACAAGATTATGAAAGCTGGAGGGAACACAGATTGGTTACAGGCCACAAGAGAAACGACATGGCAGTGAGTTTCCTGGCTGTATTTTTGCCTAATATATCCCAGACTGGAATACCAGAGTGGGTTTCCATGGCCTTCTCCAGGGAAATCTTCTCCACCCAGGGATCGAACCTGGGCCTCTCGCATTGCAGGCAGATTCTTTACTGTCTGAGTCACCTGAGAAGTCACTGAACTGGAAACGCCAAGAGCAAACAGTCAGAGACCAAAAAAAAGAAAGAAACCTAAGAAAGCCTCTTCCTTTAGGCAAAGAACCAGGAAGGGCATAGAGTTTTAAGACAGAAAAATGAAGACAATTAACCAGCCTATTATTGCAAACACCATAGAAAAAAAAAATCTGTGGCCCTAACCCTCACTTGGTCATCCAAGACTGAGTGGGGAGACTGAACTTCCGTCTTTGCCTGACAGTAGAGGGGCCTCTCATGCTCATTCAGGTGGTGTCAGGGAAGACCGATAAAGGAGCTGGAACTTCTGACTTCTGCCAAGCTATAACCAAGGTCCCCTCTGCAGTGCGGGGTAAGCCATGCAGAAGGAGCGATAAAGTGCCTCAATCTCAGGATACCAACACAGGCCAAGCAAGAGACGTGGATTTCTACCTCACGTGGCTGGCATGGTGTCTGGCTAAAAGAGAAGTTTTAAATAAGATAGAGTCTCATAACATAATACTCAAAACATCAAGTATACAATAAAAAATTACTACTCTTACCAAGATCTAGGAAAATCTCAATTTCTATGAGAAAAGACAATTAACATTTGACAACACTGCAAAGAATCAGATGTTCGAATTATCTGACAAGGATTTACATGCAGCCACAATAAAAATGCTTCAAAAATGCTTGAAATATGCTTGAAACAAATTAAAAATATTAAGTCTCAGCAAAGAAAGAGAGGGTACCAAACAAAAATCTTAGAACTGAAAAATAACTGCATAACAAAACTTGCTAGTTGGACTACAGTGAAGATGACAGACAACAGAATCAATAAACATAGGAGCAGGTCAATATTATTTGCCCAATCTAAACAACAGAAAGAAAATGTTCAGGGAAAAAAAAAGTCTTAGAGGCCTGAGAGACAGTAATAAAAGAGCTAATATTTGTATCATAGTAGTCCCAAGAGAAAAGAGAGAGTAATATTGAATGAAAAGGTACTGAAAGAAATACAGCTGAAAACTTCCCAGATTTGGGGAAAAAGATAAACCTATAGAATGCAAAAACTGCATGAACTCCAAAATGATAAACCCAAAGAAAACTATGTTTAGATATAGTGTAATTAAACTTCCGCAAACAGAAGACAAACTCTTGTGAGCAGTCAGAGAAACTGTATCAACATATTACTTTTAAGGGAACATAAATTCAAATAACAGTAGATTTCTCATTAGAAACCAAGGTGGCCAGGAGGAAGCAGTACATCTTTCAAGTGCTAAAAGAACTGTCAACACAAAATTCTATATCCAGTAAAAACACCCTTCAGGAATGAAAGGGAAATCATGACATTGTCAGACTAAGGAAAATGAACAGCATCTGTTACCAACAGACTTAGAAGCAAGATAAAACAACTAAAGAAGCCAACCAATATCCAGTCCTATCAAATTTACCACAAAAAAGTTTTTTTTTTCTTTTTCATGAGTCCCTTCTTCATCTCTATTTTCCCTTCCCCTATTTCAAACCTTGATATCATACCTGTATGTATTACTTCATTGGCCTCCAGTCTTCCCTTACCTCAGATCCATTCCCACATTACATAAAATAATTTAAAGTACAGAATATAGAAAACTAGGGGCTTCCCAGGTGGCCCAGTGGTAAAGAATCTGCCTGACAATGGAGGAGACACTGGAAATGCAGGTTTGATCCCTGGGTCAAGAAGATCCCCTGGAGGAAGAAACAACAACCCACTCTAGTACTCTTGGAAAAATCCCACGGACAGAGGAGCCTAGTGGGCTACAGTCCGTGGGGTCACAAAGAGTCAGACATGACTGAGCTAGTGAGCACACATGCAGAGAAAACTAAGGATGCCATTCGCCTATTTAAAACTTCTCAATTCTGTGGAGAGTCAAAGTTTTGTCTTCATTTAATTTGACCTCTGTTAAAATATACAGTGAAAAGAAGCCACAAAAGATATATGCATATTTTGACAGTTTTAAAAATATGGAATTGTTTAATGGATCTGACAAATTCATTTTTCTATCAGCCAAAACATATCAGAAGACAAATAATTCATTTTGGAATCAAGTTATTTATAATGATTTTTTTTTCTAAATATATCTAGCAAAACTGAATAATAAAATGTTTGTCTACTGATTTAAAGATTTCAGCTCCCTACACAGCTTTTTAGATTTTACCTAATAATAACTGTTATCCTCTCATATTTTGAACTTTCTGTGTCTAAATACCCTACATTTAGCAATTATTTTATTATACAATAATAAAATTTTGTATTTTTAAAAAGGAAAACTTAAAATCCAAGAATAAAACCATTTCTTTTATATTCTATTCTAATCTCCACCTTCAAAGCCTTTCACTGAGGCTTTCTCTTGCTGTTTTTCCCTTTTCAGAATCTTTATACT